GAAGAGAAAGAGAAGCAGCAGCAGCAGCAGCTCGAGGAACTGCAGCAGCAGTGTGAATGGCTGCAAGAGGAGCAGAAGGAGCAGCAGCAGCAGCACGAGACAAAGGAGAAGCTGCTGCAGGAGCAGGTGCAGCAGCTGCAGCAAGAACTGCAGCAGCAGCAGCAGCAAGCAGCAGACCTCGCACGGGAGGCAGAGGAAGCAGCAGCAACAGCAGCAGCACAAGACAAAGAGCTGCAGCAGCTGCAGCAGGCGTATGATGAAGCTCTTATAAAGGCCGAGCTGCTGCAGCAGCAAGGGGAGCAGCTGAAGCAGCAGCTGGAGCTAGCTGAGCAGCAGCAGCAGCTGCAGCAGCAGCAGCAGCAGCAGCAGCAGCAAAGTCTGACGAGAACTGCAGACATGCATAAACAAGCAGCAGCAAATGCAGAACAGAGAAGAGATGAGCTGTACACTCAGCTGCAGCAGCTGCGGCAGCAGCAGCAGCAGCAGCACAGTGAGCTGCATAGTCTAGCAGCAGAGAAGCAGCAGCTGCTGCAGCAGGTTGACGAAGCAACACAAGCCCAAGACAGCCTCAGCGCGAAGCTATCAGCAGCAGAAGCAGCAGCAAGTCTGCTACAGCAGCAGAACAAGCAGCTGGAGGAGCAGCTGCAGCAGCTACCTACACTACAGGAGGCAGCACAGCAGCGGCAGCTGCTGCAGCAGCAGCAGCAGGAGTGGATCAAGCAGCAGCAGCAGCAGCAGCAGCAACTCCGCTCCGATAATGATAAACTGCAGCAAGACAGCAGAAGCCTGAAAAGACAGCTGCAGCTGCGGGAGCAGCAGATTGCTTTGCTGCAGCAGCAGATGCGTGCAGCAGAAGGTGCAGCAGCAGCACGAGAAGAGCAGCAGGAGCAGCAGCGCCTGTCGCAGCAGCTGCAGCTGGAAGAGCTCGAGAGGCAGCAGCAGCAGCAGCAGCAGCAGCAGCAGCAAGTCAACGAACAACTCCGAAAAGAGCAGCAAACAATCAGAGAGAAAGAAATGAATATCATAGGCCTTGAAAAAGAGAAGCAGCAGCTGCAGCAGCAGCAGCAGCTGCTGCAGCAGCAACTGCAGCAGCTGCAGCAGCAGCAGGAGGAGTACCTGCAGCAGCTGCAGCAGCAGCAGCAACAGCAGCAGATGGACAAAACACTCGAGCAGCTTGCTGGAGCAGCAGAGGCGCAGCAGCAGCAGCAGCAGCAGCTGCAGCAGCTGCAGCAAGCAGCAGCTGCAGCAGAGCAGCAGCTAAAAAAGGTGACAAGACAGCGCGACTCTCTCCAGGCTGCGAAGCAGCAGCAGCAGCAGCAGCTGCAGGCTCACGTGGGGCGGCTGCAGCAGCAAGTAGAGCAGCAGCAGCAGCAGCTGCAGGAGCTGAAGCTGGAGCTGCAGCAAAGGGAGCAGCAATGCGACGAGGTAGAAGGCCAACTGCAGCAGCAGCAGCAGCAGTGGCAGCAGCAGCAGCAGCAGTGGCAGCAGCAGCAGCAAGAATGGGAGGAATCGCAGCAGCAGCTGCAGCAGCAGCTGCAGCTTGCTGTTGCAGAGCGCGAGACACTGCAGCAGGAGAAGCAGCTGCTAGAAGCAGCAGAGCAGCAGGCGGATGGAGCTGTGCTGCAGCAATCGAGGATGATGGACGAGCAGCAGCAGCAGCAGCAGCAGCAACTGCTGCAGCAGCAGAGGCAGCTTAGTGAGCTGCAGCACCAAATTCGCATGCAGCAGCTGCAGCAGCAGCAGCAGCAGCGGGAGCTCGCATACTGGACGGCTCGAGCGGAGACAGCTGAGCAGCAGCTAGCAGCAAAGCGGCAGCAGCTGACGGAGCTGCAGCAGCAGCTGCAGCAGCAGCGGCAGCAGCATCAGGTGCTGCAGCAGCAGCAGCAGCTCGAGCGGCAGCAGCTTACGGGGGAGCTGCATGCGAGTCGGCTGCAGCTGGATGCTGAGACTGTGGCGCAGCAGCAGCTGCTGCTGCTGCAGCAGCAAGCAGCAGCAGCAGCAGAAGAAACAACTCTGCTGCAGGACCGTCTAGCTGAGGAGACAGCCCGTGCTGCTCACTACAGCGCAGAGACAGAGAAGCTGCAGCAGCTGCTGCTGCAGCAGCAGCAAACAGCAGCAACAGCAGCAGCACGTCTTGCTGCAGCAGAATCCAAGTATAATGCGCTGGCTACCTTCCAGCAGCAGCAGCAGCAGCTGCTGCAGGACCAACAGCAGAGGCTGCTGCGCCAACATCAGCAGCAGCAGCAGCAAGAGCAACAGCAACAGCAGCAGCAGCAGCAGCAGCAGCAGCAGCAGCCAGAAGCAGCATCTGCTGTTGCTGCAACTCTACGTAACGAAGTGGAGGGGCTGCGGCTGATGCTGCGGGCGGCGCAGCAGAGCAACGCGGATGCGCTGCAGCAGCAGCAGCAGCTGCTGCAGCAGCAGCACGAAGATGCAGCAAAGCTAAATGAAGCTCTATCGCAGCTGCAGCAGCAAGAGCTGTCGACCCAAAGAGAACAAAGAAAAACACAGATGCTGCAGCAGCAGCTGCAGCAGCAGCAGCAAGACATGCAGCGACTGCAGCAGCTCGTTGCTGAGCTCGATACGTACACCCGAGACTTGCTGCTGCAGCTGCAGCAGCAGCAGCAGCAGCAGCAGCAGCAGCAGCAGCAGCAGCAAACATTCTCTATCAGCCAGAGGGGGGCTGTAGAGAGCGACCTGGCTGTCCTTACTGACACCGTAAAGGAGCTGCTGGGGAGGATGGAGCAGCAGCAGCAGATGCTGCAGCAGCAGCACTTGCTGCTGGAGGAGTCACGGCTGCAGCAGCAGCAGCAGCAGCTGCTGCAAGAGTCCCGCATGCAACAGCAGCAGCAGCAGCAGCAGCAGCAGCAGCTGGGCGACAGCACTGCAGCAGCAGCTTCATCAGCCGTAGAAACGGTTCTGCAGCGGCGCTGCAAGGAGCAGCAGCAGCAGCTGCTGCTGCTGCAGCAGCAACTGCGACAAGCAGACGATGAGATCGTGCTGCTGCGGCAGCAGCAGCAGCAGCAAATCCTAGGCCAGAGCGCTTTAGGGGAGCAGCAGCAGCAGCAGCTGCTGCTGCTGCAGCAGCTGCAGACAGAAGCAGCAAACCTGCGGAGACAGCTGGGACGCGAGCAGCAGCTAAAAGCAGCAGCAGCAGCAGAATCTACGGGGCTGCGGGAGCAGCTGCATGCGCTGCGGCGACGGCAGCAGCAGCAGCAAGCAGCAGCACTGGAGCAGCAGGATGCCCTTGCTGCAGCAAATGCAAGAGAACGACAGACACAGCTGCTGCTGCAGCAGGAGCAGCAGCAGCGGCAGCAGCTCGAGCTGCTGCTAAAGAATATTGAGAGCAGCGGAGAAGCAGAGAGGCTCACGCTGCAGCAGCAGCTGCAGCTGCTGGATGGTCGTTGCCAGGTGCTGCAGCAGGAAGCTGCGCTGCAGCAGCAGCAGGTTGCTGCTGCACAGGAGCAGCAGCAGCAACAGCAGCAGCAGCAGCAAGAGCAGCAGCAGCTGCTTCAACAGTACAAAGACACTGCAACAGAAGCACTGCGACGCACAGAGCTGCTGCAGCAGGAGCTGCAGCTGCTGCAGCAGGAGCAGCAGCTGCTGCTGCAGCGAGCGGAAGCAGCAGAATCTGCTCGTGATGCAGCAGTGCAGCAGCAGGTTGCTGCTGCTACAGACGCTCAAATGAAGCAGCAGCAGCTGCAGCAAGAAGCGCAGCAGCAGCAGCAGCAGCAGCAGCAGCAAATTGCTTCCTTGACCGAGGCCCTGCATGCAGCAGAATATGCAGCTGAGCATGCGAACGACTCTCTTGCTGCAGCGCAGCAGCAGCTGCAGCAGCAGCAGCAGTTGCTGCAGCAGCAGCAGATGCTGACATCTGACGGGGTTACGGTGTCTCCGCAGCAGCAGCGGCGACGGCAGCAGCAGCAGCAGCAGCAACTGGCGAGGCTGCAAGAGCTGCTGCAGCAATCAAACGAAACAAAACAGAAGCAGATGGAGACAGTGCTGCAGCAGCAGCGGGAGCTGCTGCAGCTGCAGCAGCAGCTTCGGGTGTCTACGCAGCAGCAAGAAGTGCATGCAGCAAACGAGGAGAGACTTGCTGCAGCATGTGAGGCTGCTTATGCGCAGCAGAAGCAGCAGCAGCAGCAGCTGCAGCAGCTGCAGCAGACATGCATGCAGCTGCAGCAGCAACTCAGCAGCGCAGCAAGAGAAGAACCACTTGCTGCTAGCCAGAGAGCAGCACTGCAGCAGGAGGTATCGGTGCTGCGGGAGTCGCTGCGGCAGCTGCAGCAGCAGCTGCATGCGAGCGAGCTGCAGCGGGGATCTCTGCAACAGCAGCAGCAGCAGCAGCAGCAGCAACAGCAGCAGCCAAATACTGTGCTGCTGCAGCAACGCTGCAACGACTACCGCATGCAGCTGCAGGTGACGCAGCAGCAGCTGCAGCGGGCGTGGCAGGAGAGCAGCGAGCTGCGGCAGCAGCTGCAGCAGCAGCAAGATGCAGCAGTGCAGCAGCAGCTGCTGCATCAGTCTCGACATGCACAGAGGAAGGAGCAGCAGCTGCTGCAGCAGCAGCTGCTGCAGCAGCTCAGGGAGGAGACAGAAGTGCTGCGGCTGCGGTTGAGAGATATAGAAGCGCAGCACGATGAGCAGCAGCTAAGTCTTGCTGCAGCAGAGCAGCAGAAGGACCTGCTGCAGGGGCGTCTGCTGCAGCAGCAGCTCGAGCAGGACCAGCAGCAGCAGCAGCTGCAGCAGGCTGAGCTTCTCATGCAGCAGCACCAAGCAGCAAAAGAGGCAGCAGAAGCAGAGTATGAGCGGCTGCTGTCCCGGTGCAAGGCGCTGCAGCAGGAGCAGCAGCAGCAGCAGCAGCAGCTGCAGCAGCAGCAGCAGCTGCTGCAGCAGACACAAGAAGAAGCCAGGGCTGCCAGTGAGCGCTACCAGTCGCTAGAAACGGAGCTTGCTGCAGCTGAGAGGCAGAGCAGCGAGAGCAGCAACGTGCTGCAGCAGCAGCTGCAGCAGCAGCAGCAGCAACTGCAGCAGCAGAGAGAAGCTACACTAGAGCTGCAGCAGAAGTGTCTCGAGCTGCAGCAGCAGCTGCAAAGAAAAACAGAAGCAGAGCAGTACCACCGCCAAACGCTGCAGCAGCTGCAGCAGCAGCAGCAGCAGCAACGGCAGCTGCTGCGGCAGACGCGTGCAGGTGTAGAGGAGGAGCTGCAGCAGCAGCAAAGAGCAGCAACACGACTGCAGCAGGAGCTGCAGCAGCAGCAGCTGCTGCTGCGAGAGGCGCAGCAAAAGGATGGCGCTATGGCAGCTGAAGTTGCGGGGCTGCAGCAGCTGCTGCAGCAAGCGGCGCAGAGAGAGCAGCAGCAGCAGCAGCAGCAGGAGCAGCAGCAGCAGCATATTGAACAGCTACAGGCTGAGCTGCTGCAGCGACACAAAGACATTGTTGCAGCACAAGGGCAGGTGCAGCAGCTGAGTGAGAAGCTAGCAGCAGCGCAGCAGCAAGGAGCATCGAGAGAGCAGCAGCAGCAGCAGGAGCTGCAGCGGCAGCAGCAGCAGCAGCAGCTGCAGCAGCAGGAGCTGCACAAGTTGAGAGTAGTAGAGCAGCAGCACGCAAAGACACAAGAAGAGCTTGCTGCTGCTGTTGAGGCCCTGCATGCAACTCAAAGGCGGGAGCTGCAGCAGCAGCAGCTGCTGCAGCAGCTGCAGCAGCAGCTGGAGAGCGTTGATATGTCTGAGAGAGCCCTCGGCGAGTCGCGTGACCAGTGGTCCACTCGCTGTGCTGCACTGACAGCAGAGCTGCAGGCAGCAGCAAACGAGCTGCAGCAGGCTCGTGCTGCTGCTGCAGAGACGCAGCAGAAGCTGCAGCAGGTGCAGCAGCAGCATGAAGCCATGCTGCTGCTGCAGCAGCAAGCAACAGAAACAGAGCAGCAGCACGTGCTGCGCCTCAATGAGGAGCAGCAGCGCATGCAGACAGAGCTTGATGGGGTGTATAGTCAGCTGCTGCAGCAGCAGCAGCGCAGCAAGGAGCTAGAGCTGCTGCTGCTGCAGGCCGAGACAAGGCATAAAGAAGCTCAGCAGCAGCAGCAGCAGCAGCAGCAGCAGGCCGACGAGCTGCTGCAGCAGCTACACGAAGCAGAGAGGCTGCTGCAGCAGGAGCAGCAATCCTTAAAGGATGCGCAGCAGCAGCAGCAGCAGCTCGAAGAACGTCTTGCTGCTGCTGCTGATGAGGAGCAGCTATTCCGCTCTCTGCAGCAGCAGCAGCAGCGGGATCACGAGGCTCTAACACAGCAGCAGCAGCAGCAGCTGCTGCAGCTGCAGCAGCAGCTTGCTGCTGCCAGAGCAACGGCGCAGCAAACACGACAGATGCAGGTAGAAGACCGCCGNGAGCAGCAGCAGCAGCAGCAGCAGCAGCAACAGCAGCGTAGCTGGCAGCAAGAGCAGCAGCGGCTTATATCTCAGGTGCAGCAGCTGCAGCAGCAGCTGCAGCACGAAAAGACTATGCGACAGCAGCAGCAGCAGCAGCTAGCTGAGCTGCAGGGGGCTGCTAGCAGCAACGAGGGAGAAGCTGCTGCTGCACTGGAGCGAGCAGAGCGGCAGCAGCAGCTGCTGAAGCAGCAGCTGCAGCAGCTGCAGCAGGAAGCAGCAAAACGCATGCAGCAGCTGCAGCAGACAACACAAGAGAGAACGCTGCTGCAGCACGCAGCAGCAGACTTGGAGACGCAGCTAGCGGAGCAGCTAGCAGCAGCTGAGCAGCAGCAGCAGCGTGCTGCAGCACAGCAGCAAGAAATGCATGCGCTGCAGATGAAAGTGCAGCAGCAGCAGCAAACTGCAGCAGCACTGCAGCAGCTGCAGCAGCAGCACGAGAGAACCCTGAAGGAGCTCAAGGAGGCGCAGCAAGAGCTGCAGCAGCAGAAGCAGCTGCTCAACCGTCAGGAGATCCAGCTGCAGCAGCAGCAGCAGCAACAGCAGCAGCAGCAGCAACAACTGCAGCAGCAGCAAGGATCGCTGCAGCAGCAACTGCATGCAGCAGAGAACGCCCTTGTAGGGAACGCAGAAGAAGCAGCAGCAGCTCGAGACAAGCTGCAGCAGGCGCAGCAGCAGCTGCGTCAGCTGCAGCAGCAGCAGGAGCAGCAGCAGCAGCAGCATCAGCAGCAGCTGCTGCATATGAAGCAGCAGCACAAAGACATGCAGCAGCAGCACAGCCGCTCGCAGCAAGAGAATGCAGCACTAAGAAGACAGCACGAGCTGCTGCAGCAGCAGCTCGAAGGGGAGAAGCAGAAGGTTATTTTGCTGCAGCAGCAGCTGCAGCAGCAGCAGCAGCAGCTGCTGCAGAGCAGCAAGGGTGATGCTGCTGCTTTAGAGCTGCAGCAGCTACGCCAAGAAACACAGGAGCTGCAGCTGCAGCAGCTAGCAGCAAACAGCAAGATACTGAGCCTGCAGCAGCAGCTGCAGCAGAGAGGCATTGAGCTCGAAGACACGCTGCAGCAGCTGAAGCAGCAGGCG